GAATCTTCGAATTGGGCGGGGCTGGCACCAAAGTGGGCGGGGCTTGGATCAAAAGTTCATGACTCTGTTCAGAAACGTTCTAAAACGCACGAAAAAAGTGGTAGGAGGAATTGGAACAAATGTAGTTAAGTCCTCGAAGGGGGCGGAGCTGGCACATGGAAGCGGGGCTAGGACCAAAAACTCATCTCTTAAAAAACTTTCTGAAATGCGGAAAAAATGGTTTGGAGCAGTCAAAAGAAGGGTGGTCAAGTTTACTGTGGGAAGGGTTCGCATTAAGGTGGACGGAGCTATGATCAACCACTAATAACTCTGCTCAAATATATCGATCGTGATGCTCTCAGCAGTTCAGCGTTCGAATCTAGAGAGAACTATCTTACACTGATTATCCAACATCCCGCTGAATAACTCCATCGTGGATAAGTGGCCGTCGACATATACTGCGCGCGTTAGCGTGCATAGCCAAACTGGTTGGACATATAGGGGAAGTGGGCAGGATGAGAACGGTCCGAGATCCTCATCTAAGATCGATACCCGCCCTAAAACGTCTAATCGTCTGATGAAACGAAGCTTCCATCTCCGTGGGTCGCCTAAGGGGTAGTCAGGACAGCCATCCTGTATGGGATCCTCGAAATATTCTGGTTTTGTTGCGACGTTCAAGGAAAATGGGCTGTATATGTCATCCAGGATTCATATTTATGTATCTCTGTGGTATGGGTGAATTCAAAAAAAGGTTGCAGTAATAGAAGTGTAAATTCGAGCTCCAGACTTCCTGGCACCTGTTACCGTTTGCCTAGAAATTTCGGCACGAATCTAAGTTCTTACAGTAATCCCACTGCTGCCTCATACAACCGCTGCAACAAAATACACCGTGTGGTAGTCAATGACAGCTTCTGAGTAGTTGTATCAAAAAATCGTGGGATTACGGTAAAAATTTGTATTCAGATGGAATGATTATTACCGTTTTTCTCTTCAGTGGGAGGATTTAAAACTTGTTAAGCCAAACTTTCTGATAAATCGAATTTCAACGTGAACGTCTAGTTTTCATCTCATTGCCAAAATTTCGTTTATAATTTCGACTAATTTGTAGCAAAGGCAAGTTCGAGAATTCTTTTTTTTCTTTTTCCAAATGTTGAGTTGAATAAGGGTGAATGTTGTTGGAAAAATATCACTGAGTCAAGAATGAATAATGATTTACAATTCGAAAAATGATTTCAGCAATCGAAGAGTGAAGCCAACAGTACAATTCGTGGATCCTACAAAGCGATGTCATTATTGCGGACGGGAGGGTAAAAAGGAAGCAGAACCAAAAAAGAAGATTAATAATGGGTTGGTTTCCTATGATGATTGACGTGCCAATTACAAGATTTTACTGAATGACAGGAAGGGATGAGAAGCAAAACAAGTCCGGGAACAGCTCTTTAGTTAGGAAATGGGCTTCACGCTCTCTCTCCCGGCTGCAAAGGAGTGCATCACGGCAATGAACAGTCCTGAGTACGGAAACTTTAGGTTCAAATTCCTAAATGGTTTATTACGGTTCCAAAATCTCAGCATCACTGTTCTGTTTCTGAAGGTGGTTTAGTACTCGAACACCAACATACCGTTTTGAGCACTTGTAGGTCGGGTAGAGACATCATTTTTGCCTTACTCGCTAAGGTTCGGCGGTTCAGCTTTCAACGAGCCGAGAGAGGGAGAACGATAGAAGGAGTGACTTATACGGCTACAGCCCGTCCCCATTGTGGCTCTAATACAGGGTTTTTCGAGTAGAACACTCTGAGGTTCAATGTTTTCCAGATTTTACCTCGGCATAATTCTTGGCAACAGTATCGATCTAACGATGAGCAGTACTGAGCGGTAAGGGTTTCACAGTCAAATGATGAATGGTTTCCTTAATGTAAAAACTCTTTTCAGCTTTTATTTTAAAAAAGATTATGAGACGTTTAAGCTGCGATTCACTATCATCAACTTACTCCCTTTGACTCTCGCATATTTCTTTCCTTCGAGGTATGTGAATGTTGAACCAAAAGGCTCATTGACGTGGCTAATAAAAATTCAGTAATATAATATAGTAATTCAGTATAACACCAATGATAAAGTAAAATGTAATATTTGGGTGGTAATAAAGCACAGATAATGATTAATATCAATAGCGATGGGTGGTGGTGTTGTGGCAAGTGGTGCCCTACCATACATGCACGTTCCGTGGTTCAAACCCTGGATCAATATCCACCCAACCAACCTCCATCCATCTACCCAGGGTTGTTTAATTGGTACTAGACTCGTCTGGGAGGATAAAAACACTGACTTGCACATGGGCTGGCCACCGCAAGCAAATGTATGGGCCAGATGCGTATTCAATACGCCAATACGATTCTGAGCTAATGTCAAATGCGGGGCGTATCCTTCGGGAGGGATCTGCCCAAAGACTTGATTCCTTGTCCTTCCTCCATGGTGATAGTTTAGAATAGCGAAATGGTAGCATCAGGTAGTATTTTTTTTATATAACTAATAAGGTACTCTTACAAAGGAGGCAGGTCCTCATTAGTTCTATCAGAAATGGTTCTTAATACGATAAGACCCTCTCAGACCCTCTACGATGGCTATTCGATTACTATAAAGCAGATTAAGAGAAGTTAATAGTGTGCATCTAAAAGTTTCTACTGAAATATCTGACGATAGCAGCTCTCTTCAGTGATTGATCAGTGACTTTTCTTCATTCAGGCCCATGGATTCCATATGCCACTTTTTGATGGTATGGTATTACTGTACTCTGACGATCCGGGAAAGCATCCTCATCATTAACGGCTCGAAGTAAGCAAATTTTCATAACAAATCCATAATTTGAATCATAGAAGTCATCAGTACTGAGGAGTTTTCAGATTGGGACCCTGGTGGATAGCTCATCACTATCTGGCCTGTGTGATCGGTGGCGTAGCTCTCACTTGGCCCGAAGACGCCGCCTATCAGGTTCGCATTACCGTAATCCTTTCTCGAAATGGTAAATTTCCAATCTGAATCCTGCTCTTTTTTAGGCTTTTCACACGCAGTTCTTGCTGTTCGCCGGCTATATTTGTCTTGTACAGCAGCTCCAATACCAGTATCAAAGTGGTTGCCTCCGACGTCTGCACTCCCTGGGCCACGGCGATTCGATGGACGTAACGCTCGGTCAGTTTTTACGGGTTCCTTTGTTCTTTGGCTATAACATATTTCCGGAGTTCCCCCGGGTGTTCCTGTTGTGTCATCACCAGGAACACTTGTGGCAACTGCGAAAATCTGTTACCTTAGTCGCTTCTATTGTTCCTTACATGACCAACTTCACTGTATGGTTATAAGCCCCATAGACCTCATACCCACTTCATCTCTGCCCTCTATTTATGATGTGCAATGTGGTTTTTCAGATTATTCTCATTAGATCTTCATTGTTTTCTCCTTTTGAAATCGTCATTTTCAGAAGGTTTCGCTTCATGGATGTTCCAAGGGCTTACGTTCCTTCTGCCATTTCTGGCCATTATGTATTTGCTAGAATTGTACAATGCTTATACACTGTACAATCTATGGAGAACTCATGTGAAATGTGCCTGGCAGGTATGTACTGTATGATGTTACATAGTTGGGTGTACGGTAGAAGATTTGAACGTTCGCGGCGCGGGACGGTGCCTAGCTAGTTGTCTCGTCGCGCGCCACGTCATTTGACGAGACAACTAGCTAGGAAACGCCTCCTAGCCGTCAGCCGTAATTAAAAATACTTCATGCTTGAAATTAGAAGAATAATGATTACGCAATATGATCGATACTATTAATTCAGGTGCCAGCACTTTCACTTCTGTTCCTTATCGTTGGTGTTGGTAATATCGCTATGGTTTCTCTGATTGTTTTCAAAAAGATGAAAGATAGCGGCAGAGCAGGAGTGAAGAAGATTCTCCAAAGATATCCTTCAATTGGTTGTATGCAGTAATGTGTATGCCTGTCCAATGAGGGTCCCATGAGGATCTTATAGCGTATACGGTGGAACTGCAGTACTGTTTGAGTGGTACAATTGTGTAGATCGCCTTTAGGAATTGGACGTCGTGATGTGTATTGACAAACTACCTCATCATTGTAGACTATTCTTAAGTACCAACTTATATAACATGTAATTGTCAGTATATATTTATTACGGGTTTGCCAATGCAGCATTGGCAAAAATAAACATCAACAATTATGTTGCAAAGCTTCCTCTGTGGTAAATACAGTTATGATTACAATCAGTTCAAAGTGCCGTACCTTGAATTGCATGATTGAGCATACTGTAATCCCAGAGGAATTATCGTTCTTACTGGATAGGTATCCTGTCCATCCCTAGTAGCTTCGAAATTGAAATCTTGAGGTATTGCGAGAACAAAGGAGAATACACCTTGGGGTCGATCGATAATGTTTAGGGTGCGCCCCGCACGTGACTTCCATTGAGAATCGTACCGGCATTTTAATGGGATTTGACCCGATGTCAAACACATCTCTTCTACTCCCAGAAGAGTCCAGTAGAGATTGGGTACGATCCGTGGAGGGTTCGGTCAACCAGTCTCTTTCTTGGCACATCATCACAACCTTTGTTTTGTTAACAGTAGTGCCGAATAAAAAGGGTTCTTTAAAGGCACAGTTCACGATTATTTTTAGGTACCGTCATTATGCGAAAACCGGAAAATAGATTAGGAATAGTTCATCAGTAGTGGAGAAAGCGGGGAACTCGCCGATTTTGAAAAAATATGGCTCCTTAAAACTAGGGAAATTAGAGCTTGGACGAGATTACCATAGGGAGAACAACATAGAAGGGATATTTGGACGAGATTTCAGTTGTTGCAATGGCGCAAAGGCTTGACTAGATCAAGCAAGAACTATACAGAACTGCCTTTCACTGTCGCTATTGGTCATGATAAGTTGTTTGAGCTTCCTTTATGAGTTTTCTTGTGATCGGTGCAGCCTCTACAATGCCGGTAAAACTCGTCCGAAGATACACACGGGCCAATCGTTGAGCCTTTATAACTCCTTAACTTGGCCGTTTTCCGACCCAATAGCGCCGGATATGGTATACGAGGGGGCCTCAAATTCATCCTTTGGGGAAATCTCAGAAACCATTTTTATCGTGAACTGTGCCTTTAAAATAAAAAGCTTGTTTCAGAATGCAATTCTGATGACGGAGGCGTAGGGCCAGATGACATCGCTACCACACTATGTAGGTCTGGAGGCGCCACTTCTTTGGAAAACTAGGTCGCTAAGCCTGATTTACATCTCCCCAAGAATTCATTCTACGGATGGGCTTCTAGATGGCAAATAGAAAGAATGCTATCGAGCTTGCAGAACTCCTGAAACAAGACAAATAGTTGATACCGTTGTCGGCAAAGTAAAAGTATCACGGTAGTAGACCAAGGTTTAGAAATCCAAAAGACAACCTCAACGCATCCCAGTCGCACAGGAAACTGTGTTTTTGGAACTGATTTGTACAGCTGACAATTGAAATGGTCCAGAACCTACGTAGAGTCAGTTGGAATGTGAGAACAGTCACGTTGACAAAACTTTGGGGAAAGATACTCAACATATCAAAATTCAGCATACTTCCAACGGTTTTCTGCTCTATTGCCATTTAACTGACACGCGGCAAAGAAAAATTGCAATTTGAATGCTCGCGCCATTGAGGAGCAGAAAACCCGTATTGAATGAGTTCTCCCGTCTGTATCAGCTTCACCTGGCGCTTATTCCTTGTTGAGATTACCCCTTCCCTCTATAGGATCCTTAATCGAAGTCTGTGGCTAATTTTGTTCTCAGCAAAGTTTCTAGATCGCTTACCTAATCAGTTCAGCTCCTTAGAAATTTCCTAGAACTCGTGTTTTCCGTTGTTTCGTTGGTGCCGTTGCTTTTCTCGACTTCGCTATTTCTCAGAAGTCTTCCATTGACTGTTGTTGTCATGTTTACTCTCCAATAGCTTCTCACAAGCCCTTCGAGATACTCCATTCCGCGTCGAATTCATGTGTAGCTTACTACGTTTCTTTTTTTTTTCGGCAGCCGAGAAGGAGCAGTAGAGTCGCCTTCTAATTAGTTTTGTTTTTGGAATTTTTCAATCAGTTATGTCTTTATAGCTAGCCATACTCAACCCAATGAGATCCGCTCCATTCGTTTGGCTTTCTGCTGGCTACAGAGCGCTCGAAGAAGTTAAGTGAGCTACCGAGTTAGGACAACGGCCACCTTCTTGCCAGCTGTTGGATTACTGAAGAGGATTTTGGTAAAGAATTTGGCTCTTGCTTTTTGATTCTTCTTTGCCGGATTGAGCTGGATTGATCTTTTACAATATGAAAACGTTAGCGAACGAGCGGGTATTCCTTTATATTCAAGTTCACAAAATGGTTGGAGAGGATTTTTTATTAGGACCTGGACCAATTAATTACCTTTCAAAGGCGACTGTATTTCCTTGTAGAGATATGATTTTTTATCTCAACGCTCATTTGCAAAGAGTTTGTAAGTTAGGATGAAGAATTGGATAGAATTTCTTTGTCAAAAGCATTTACAAGGTCTGAACAACTCATCAAAGTAAGGATAGCAAGGGTATGGTAACCTTTTCGAATATTTGGTTAATTGTTAGGGTCGTCTGGTTGTTCACTGACTGTAATATTCATAGTTAGGGAACGATTTTGTCCTCGTTCTCAGTACGCACAAAGTAATTATGAAATTGTAAAAAGTAAAGTCGCGTTTAGACTTTGTGATGGGCTTAGAGTTCAGTGACAACTGTCTGTCATATTCTCCGTAGCTGAGCCGGAGAGCACTGAATTTTAGAGGAGAACGTTCTAGGAGCTGGAAAATAGCAAGTTGTGAACCAAATGGCATAAGCACAAGGAAGAGAGTGTTGTGTGCGGTTTTCATTTTACAGCATTGAAGTAGTGCTTGTTCTTTATACTCCGAATTGACGAATCGGCGAATACGCGTGACGCGTAATTGCCGATTTGACGGTGGTGCATGAAGAATTTTCTTAAACACAGTTTAGGCACCATTAATTATTTCTCGTTTGGTTGGATTCGGGTGCATAGTATTTAGCAGTAGTAGCTGTAAGGGTGTGAGGTGAACGAACGACTTTCTGCGTGATGCGAATACCTTTCCGGGAAAGAAAGTTTAGCGCAAAATGGCGAATCTCGTGATCCTCTCGAACCATTGCACGAATTCCCACCACACCATCCTTTAATCAGTAATTGATATAAGTAGTGAACCGTTGTTAACCAGAAGGGTGTGTTCTGTTTCCACGACTGCTTGTCTGCCTAGGCTCATGCAGCGAGGTGGAATTCCGTTGACAGGAGCTCCTTAACCTGAATTTAGCTTATCTTGCCAATTTTCTTCAAGGACTGCACACCATAATACGTGGATAGGTAATGGAGACGGGTGTTTACTGAAATGGACCTGCACGTGATATTAGGAGTGTAGCTAATGTAAACTCAATCACGCCACGTCTAATTTAATTAATATTCGTCTCCAACCTAGCGGACCCTGTACGCCTCTAAAAAATGATTTTCATCAGTTGTTTTTCTGGTTCACAATGAAAGGGAATTTAGGAAAGCGAAGAAGCAAAATTTGATGGGGAAGGCAGACATGAGACATGGACTCAACCATTTTTCTCTAGATTCGAAATTTCGAAGAGATCTAAACGGAAAGAGTAGGGGGCTACTATGTTTGAGAATGCCTTCATTTCTCAAAGGGCATCACATGCCTGTAGTATGTGAAAAATAATTGAAATTTTATTTATCAATCAAGTTTGCACTTTGATTAGTTCTCTTTACAGAATCGGAGAGCTTTATACTATTCTACGTATCTATTCATACATTGGAATATAATACAATGAGAACAGAGCTCTCTGAAAGACACCTGAGGTAATGGATAATCAATCTGTTGAGCAAAAATCACATGATTGAGACAATGCAAAACGAGATTCGATGAAAGCTATGTCCATGAATCGAGACGAATCCTTGCGAGTGGAGGTTAAAGCACTTCATAGGTCGTGGATTCGACGTTGTTGGTACTCAAATGCACGGCAATACTCGAATTTCCCTCCTGGGGCAAAGTTCTTTGGATCAAGTGGTTCACATTCGCCGGAGCATGTTCGGGGATAACAGACAAGTGTGATGTGACGAATGTCGATCAACGATGTCAATTGAAAAATGGCATACGCCACGATTATGGCGTACTCCATGATTGCATAGATACGCGACACTGAAACTCGGACTGTAAACGTCAGAATTTCGAGTCTATACATTGTATCTACGTTAAAACCTATTTTCACTATGAAAGAGAGGTAGGGTAGGGGCAAGTGGCGTGCTATCTTACACACATGGCTCGGCTAGTGAGTCCTGATTGCTCAAGCCATTGAAGCGATCCATCACTCCATGTCAATCAATCGGTGCCAGAATTGTCTGGGTGGATAAAAGTACTGACTTTTATGTACATTGACTGGCCATCGCAAGTCATTGTATGTATATGACTAAGCAGATACGCATTTGAATCACTAACGACAAGGTTTGGATGGGAGTCGTATGAGGGCGCACTCCAGGAACGTAATTAATTAACACTCAATACTTCGAATACTTCATCCTTTATTCTCCTGCCCTCATGCCCGATGTAGTTTGGTCGTTTGGTCAGGTCTGGGGGAATGAAATGTCTGCCTTATTCTACATTGCCCACCTCTTCTAGTTACTTGTTTCTTCTTCTTTGGAGTGAAATTCTATTCGAATTTTGCTTGATGTGAACTCCGTTGTTTCTACAGGTATAAGTAAAGCTGACCGTAGCTAAAACAGATAGGGAAGGAGATAGCCGAGTGATTGTGCTGGAAATACTGCGGCGCCAGGTAGCAGAACACGCATGCAGAGACCATCTTCAGAATCGCTGATATATGATCCAAATTCTGAAATATTGATTTTCGGAACCTTTTCTTGACGTCTTGAAGCGACCTTCTTGACGGCATTATGAGTTCTGTCGGATGCTAATCATTGGGAAATTTTCTCACTTCTTTGGAGCTTTTGCTGAAGGAGTACTGTATCGACGTGGTCATCACCATGTTCGTACCGGCAGCCATCACAAACACAATTTTGCAAAATCTGTTGATCTCTGAAAATTTCTCTAATCCCGTGGCCTTCAAAAAAAGACACTCAAAAGGCAACCCACCAGGAAAATCAAAATGAACAGTGACAATGCTGAAGAGTGCTAGAGAGAGCACTTCAAGGAAGTTGAGCAGAGGTAAGACGTCAAGGGAGACCCGAAAGAAGAAAGGTAGCAGCTCGTACTCGACACGAAGAGCTTCCCTGAAATGGAATGTGAATCGGCATGGCTGGTTTTGTTCGGTGGATTTGTAATTCATGGGATATAGTCCTCAGGGCCTTCACAGTGTGTCCTGTACCTGTGAGTTGACTGTTCTAGGTTGACTCCACGTCATAAGGTGGTACTATTGATCCGAATCGATATTGATTAGCCCTTCTGTTGGGATTGGGGCGCTAACAGTGCCCCTTAGTGGAACGATCGCCTCTACGTCGCATTTTTGAAATCAAAGGATAAAGTTCCAAGTTATCGAAGTCCGACACTATCTTGGGGTTTCGTCTGACTAGAGTTGGTACTGTTCCTCTAATCATGCACATCGACATATCTATTGAGTGGACAAATGGCTATTCTATTTCCTTTTCTACGTCCGCCGGGAAGGGAGAAAAGCGAAAGGCTTTGCCCAAGCTCAGCAGGGCTTTGAAGAAAAGTTTCGAATGAGCATGATAGAGAAAGTACGGGATTCAGCGTCCCCGGACTCTCCATTTCAGAAGACTTACACATGTGTTGCGAGAGGGCTCAGTTCTCTTGCCCTGGCGTCTTTACGCAATTTCCTACCGTGATGAACTGTGTTCGAGAATGAAGAGAGCAAGCAACTTGATGTAAGGGATACCACCGATACAATGTCTCGGAGGCGGACTAGTTAAAGGAGGCGATTGAAACGGCTTTTAGACTTATTTTCAATCACACTTTCCGGGCTTTCAGTCATCGCTATAACGCGACGAAACGTCCCTTTCTGACATGTGAGCAGCTTTTTGGCAGCGCAGTTTATGCAGAGGTAGATTATAGTAAAACATGACTTCGAGGAAGCCGAATCGCGCAGTCCCCTGTACGGCATTAACCCGTTCTCGAGAAATAGAAGTTGTATAACGTAAGAATTGAGCCTCACGTGTGGCAGCCGGCGATGAAGAGTCGAACAACCATTGGTATGCACGTACATAATCGAAAGAGAACGTTACCGATGACGTTGGTCTCAAACAGATTCAGAATCGATGGAAGACCATTTACTGGCATCGGTAAAGTTGTCTAAAAACATTAAAATCTAGTGTGGAATGTACTTAATTATGAGGCAAATAGTCATGGCTAATCTTGGTGGCTTTGGACACCGACTTTTCACAGGAAACCATAATCACAACTTACATTACATTGATAGTGCGTGCTTCCGTACTTTGCAAAAAACGACCGTTTTAATTCCTTTTCTGTGGGAATGTAGTCTGTGTGCAGAGAACCAGCAATGGCTGCTGAAAAGACATGCGATAGGATTTTGAAATTAAGTTGAAATGAAGGCGAAAACGTCCAAACCAATAAATAGCGTCATTGAAAACACTGCACATGCTGCGGCTGGCCAAACTATCGGGAAACTGAAGTAGGACAGATCTTCGTTGTTGTCATCNCCAGCAATGGCTGCTGAAAAGACATGCGATAGGAAGTTGAAATTAAGAGGAAGTGAAGGTCAAAATATCCAAACCAATGAATAGCGTCATTGAAAACACTGCACATGCTGCGGCTGGCCAAACTATCGGGAAACTGAAGTAGGACAGATCTTCGTTGTTGTCATCGACAAAACCTTCTTTAAGGAGCCTGTTCTCTCTCCGTGATCGTGGTATCTGGAATTGGAAAATCCCTGACGTTGTTTGATCGATTTTGTCTATGGAAGGGGATTGTACCCTCTATACACCCTTTGGGGGGTGTGGTGCAGCAGGAACGAAATTGTCGCGTCGCGGCAAGAGAAGTCGCACGCGAAATAATGTGGCGAAGTGATGTACGAACATCTTTTCTTTGGCGTTCAACATCATCACCTATTGCTGCTGTTAGCATTAAAGACACAGCTCACGATCATTTTGAGGTACCCCTTTTTAGCCGAAAAGCGGAAGTATAGGTTGGGAATAGTTCATTGTGATGAAAGCGAGAATATTCGCCGATTATGAAAAAAATAAGGCTCCTCAAAAGTAGGGAAAATAGAGGTTGGACGAGATTACCATGACGTAAGTGAAATGGAAGGCGTACTCGGACGAGATTTCGGTTGTTGCATTTGCGCAAAGAGCTGAGTACATCAAACCAGAACTGTACAGAACTGTCCGTCGGTCATGACAAGTTGTTTGAACTTCCTACATGGGTTCCCTTGAGATCGGTGCAGCCTCTACAATGCCGGTGAAACTCGTCCGAGGATACACGCGAGCCAATCTTTGAGCCTTTATAATGCCCTAACTAAGCCGTTTCCGACATGATGGCGCCAGACATGTTATAAGAGGGGACCTCAATTTCATCCTAAGGGGGAATCCTGGAAGCCATATTTATCGTGAACTGTGCCTTTAAGTTTCCTGCTGTAGTTGGGTTAGCCACATCTCACTTGGAGGCGGAGTCTGCTTCGAGAGGCGGGGCTTACGTCAGAAACGTGCAATACTTTCGCTCATTACGGGTACCAGTGTTGATGCGTCTTTCAACGAGCGAACACCGTTTGCATTTCTATCACACGGTAAACCTTCCGTTGGGGTGCGCTCATATTCTTGCACGTCTTATTGGATCCCCTCTAATTTATGCTCTGTTATTTATTTCTATACAAAAAATTCAACTTCACACCCTCAAGAAAGATGCCGATAGTGGAGGATTTGATAGGTTTCGTCAGGCGAATAAGCAAAAAAGCAATAGCTGGATAGAACGAAACTTGCCTTGATTCTAAAATGTTCGGGCGACGACGATGAAGAAGTGGAGGCACCGACATCCATTATTTTTGTCACCCACGATCTGTAATCGATGAAAAACGAAAATTTAGGTCAAAGGACATATCGATGCAAATGAACGGGAAAGAATCTTCGGTGAGCAGTCTTTTCACAAAAACGAAGGTCAAATATTGTCACACACTAGAGGAAATGCAAGCGGTGGGAGGAGTTGAAGAAGAAGAGTTCTTGTATTTTTCGCCCGCCTGTCGTGTTCTTTTCCGTTCTGTATTCCATAATTCATTACATGGACGCGTTACACTTCGATGGCACTCGTAACATGGTAGTGAATTCAGAAATAATGCTTAAAATCGGAGTTCTGCTCTGGCTATTCTTGAATTTGTTGGGATTCAGCAACGTCTTTGGGGTAAGAACGACGATGCTTTTTGGAGTTGAACAATCCCGTTTTTGGAACGCCTCCGCAAAGAATGCCTACTCAGAATCGTAGTGGCATCTGGAATTCATTTGTGGTGGAGATTCGATAGAGCAGGAATAGGGAATGGGAGTAGGTAATCGAGAAATGGAGCAAAGGGCGAGGAGTAGTGCACACTGACAGGAAGGCCTTGAAGCTGAGGGGAAAATTGGAAGGGCTGAAAAGACTCTTCCTAGGAGCAATCCATAATGCTCAAGTGAGTCGTGGAATAGGGCGAAAAGGTGAGGGATGAAAATCTTTGGCGTCGACAAATCTTAATCCGAGATTAACGCGAGCATAGGATTTCCGTTCAGCAAAGTGATGGTGTTGATGCTGCCTTTTTGTCCTGTTCGTTGATTTCTGGGCCAGCTGATGTGAAACCAGTGAATTATACCGACGGATGTCAGCAGTGCCTGCAGGAAAGCCAAATATGTGTGGGTCAGATATTGACCTAACAATGGCTTTGAGAAATTAGATCTCGATGATTTTAGCTTTCTTTCTATTAAGCGATAAATTTGATGAACGGTATTCTGCCACCAGAAACATAGGGAACCGGCGTTTTTGGTGGCAAGATCACTAGAACGGCTAGTTGGCAACGTTTGGCGCTTTTAAAAGAAATACCTGGGAATATGTCCTAAAACGGAAAGGAGAGGGGAGCCTACACCGGAAAAGAGGGAACCCATATGTTTGCTCAAAAAGCGTGGAGAGTTAAAACCGTTGTAGTGACACGAAAAGATAAGCAGAGAAGGTTGTTCACTGATGTGGAAGTACGTAGAGCGGTCATCGACATCGCAGAAAGGACATTCCACGGGAGAACATTCAAATGTCCTATTACGACATTTGAATAGTTTTAGAAAGAAAATTAGTTCAGCATTAATCATGCTTTCTTTTGGCAACACCACTTTTTAGGGAAAACGATAGCAACTCATTTGGGAAGAAAGCGTGGATGACCTTGCCGGGCAAAAATGCGCAGTTCGTTTCCGAGAGTTGTGGATGCATCGGGATGCCACAAAAGGATCAATGAAGAGGTTTTGAAAAATATTTAAAGAAGGATATGGAGAGTTGGAGACAGTACGTCCCACGCTAGCACCGCCCGTTGGAGGAGGTAATGGTATCCAGCAGAATTTTCCGTCACAAAGGCCTTCGGCTTATGAAATTTTGCTGGTTATTGTTGTGCCGGAAAGATTCATAAGTCGGAATGGTGACGGTGCATTTTCAATGATTCGATGATTGATCCTTATCGTAATCATCATCCCAAGAGTTGTCACAAAAGATGACAGTGTCGAACTGATTTGGGCTTGTGAACCGTAGATGTCCACGAAAAAGGCTTCCGCTAAGTTTGACAACGAAATCAAGAAGAAGGCTGTTGCTATCATCCAACGGACAAATATGATATGACTAGACACGGAGATGATACTAAAGATCGAATATGGAGCCACTTCCTCTACGTGGAGTAGGACAGAACATTCTCTCCATGAAGTTCTTTACAGTTTGGGTGATGAAAAGATTATTTAGAAGATATCAAAACAATATCAGAACTGAGCATGAGCGGCTACAACAAAGAGGCAATAGTACTTTCAATGTGGGGGTCAAGCCACGATAATTTCGGGTTTAGTTTCAGACTCGTAATGGAAATGTTAGTCCACAATAGTGCAAAAAANTTTGAAAAGAAATATGGCTTCAAAAATGAATTAAATTTGGGGTTGGACGAGAATGTTACGGAAAAAGCTGCACGGAAGGGGAATTTGGACGAGCTGTCTCAAGTGCGTCCCATTGCGTACAATTGGCTACAGTAAGCTGCCTGTGTGCAAGATGTAGGTCTCTGTGCGAACGGTGTAAGCTCTACAGCTTTTACAATGATTAAGAACTCGTCCGCCTTGAGTGTGTACGTCGACTAAGCCAGTTTTGGCAGCCCTTATTACGTCCTATCTTGACTGTTTTTCGTCATACGTCGCCCCTTAGGCTATCCTTAGGGTCACAGTTTCATCCTAGGAAGAAATCTCAAAAATCATACGTCGTGTACTGTGCCTTTGAGCTCGAAATTTCGCACCCTACTTTTTTGTGCTCCCGCGGACACAGGACGTTTCTGTGACTAGAGCCTCCGTACCCTTATCGATGGGGCCGATTGAATATCGCCCAATTAAATCCTTTGGAAGGCATTGTATGGTTGTTCCAATGAGGCGAACAACTTTTTCTTCATACCGAACCGCCACATCCGCTGAAAAATCGTAATTGGGATGACGATCGTACATACATCTGATTGGGCGATAAAAGGATCATCTCGATTGTTTTATTATCTGTTGATTTGTCAAGAACGCGAACGATTGCGGTCAACTGTTGCATTCCCAGAAAAAAGAAACAGTGCCTCTATCAATCACTTAGAGGTATGTATTCAGAAAATGAGGCTTATAAGGCAGAGGAAGTCAGCTGTTTAAAGGCACCGTTCACAAAAAAAGTTAGGGTACCCTTTTTTGACGGGAATTGATAGAACTACTCTAGAATAAAGCGATAACAACGAAAAAAGCGCAAAAAACGATGAACAAAAAGA